AGCTCTCACACTAAAACCACAAGTGGAACAGACAACCATGGTAATTCAATTTCCAAAGATAATTCACTTTCAACATTAAAGAAAAAAAACCAAACAAACAACCATAATCAATTAGTACTATCAAATGCCTGGCCTTTTATTAGTGAGAAAGGGAATCTTATGCTTGTTATCCTGGTCTTTAAATAGCTGAGTTGCACTGCAGAAATGTTTGTAGCCAATTCTGATTTCAGTGATACTGCTTGTAAAAAGACTTAACTCTGCCAAAGTCCATGTAATTATGCTAGTATAAACACAGAAGGGGATTAGAATCAAGTCTTTTCTAATTTTGTACTGACAAACTCATTTAGTAGCTGCCCATAAAGTCCCAAGTTCCTGTGAGCTTTCAATTAATACTCGTGACTTTGATATATTTTAGTAACTGTATTTTCTTAAACTGGCTCACACTGTGTGCTGCATCATCAAAAGGCCAGGCTTAGCTCACATTGGGTCCTGTAGAAAACCAGGCATTGATTCAGTGTGAATGATCCAACGTCTTGGGCAAAAATCTGCAGGGGATTTTCACAGAGCTTCCCCACATATTATTTTTTCCACATTAATGTCAGCTATGGCTGGTTGAACTGTTAAAAATTATTAGCTTTTGTTTCCTGCTTGCAAGTTATCTAAAAAACTGACTTTACCAAAGCATTCCCCAAACTGTCACACTGTCAGTCTAGTCCCAGCTGACCAGCTGGAACCTTCCTTCTGGTGCAATCACACCTTTATTGAAAGCTCAGAAGACTAAATTATGCCCTCAACATCTAAGCTGCCCTATAATAGAAACTTAGCATTCTACATTACTTCCTCCCCTCCCTACCATGCACAAGGACGAACAGAATACAGCTCACTGTGCCTTAGCTGTGATGGTTCCACAAGCCACTGTGGAAGTAACTGGTATTCATAGATGTTAGGGTTGGAAGGGACCTCAGTAGGTCATCGAGTTCAACCCCCTGCCCTGGGCAGGAAAGAGCACTGGGATCAGACAACCCCAGCTAGGTGCTTGTCCAGTCTCCTCTTGAAGACTCCCAGGATAGGGGAGAGTGCCACCTCCCTTGGAAGCCCACTGGAAACCTACATTTTTGTCTCCAATGCAAGCCTATACTTTTAGTGCAGACAGAGAGCACTAAACCTCTCAGTGGGTGCATCTACATGTTCATTAATGCGCCATAGTTATAGCACATTAAGTTTAGTACTTGCATAACCCAGTACTAAATCAATGAGCTGCACACTTGCATAACCCAGTGCACAGCTTTTTACTGAAGCTAACTGTGCAGTAGCCTAATACTACCTCATAGTAGTGTATTAGCATGAAGTCTGCCTGGCATACTAATGTGTAGCTACTGCGCAGTTAGCATCTCATGTAGATGCACCCAGTGAGAATGTGTGATTTTTACAAACCACAAGTCACTTTTGAGAGCAGAACTGCTTTTTAAATCCTTTTTTGTGGCCCACACCAAACAAACAGCATTATCATCTGCTTTAATCCAAAGAACCATGGATATTTTATTAAAATACCCTCCTAACCAACAGAGTGAGACATGTAGGCATATAAATATATACACATAAAGTTGTTTCTTTTTTTACTAGTTAGCCACTTTTTCATTCACTTGCCTCTTACTGTGTTCAGTACAGCCACTGTATCTGAGTGCCTGTGCACAGTTACATTTGCCCCATGTGCAGGTCCTTACCTGCTCTCATTTAATTGAATACCAACTATTAAGGGGAAATGGTTGGACGACAGAAATATGCTCCTCACCTTGTGGATTACAATGTCTGATATTTTTGACAGAGAAATGATTGAATCACTCATCTCCAGTTCCATCATGCTTTTACTAGGACCCCTGCCAGAGGTGCAGGTAAAGGTGCAATGGGATCTGATAAACAAACCACACAATTACACTTCCTGCCATGCCTCACATGTATGGCAGGAGGTATGATTGTGGGATCAAGCATTAGATAGCATCACACATTGCTGTTGGTGCACGGGGAGCCTGGGATCATGATCCTGTCCCCCCACCCCATCCTGCACCAGCAAGTAGCAAGCTTCAATAGCTGGAAACCCCAGCATGGTGTAACCCTGTGGCTCAAAGCCTGGATCAACTATTGGGGCTCCCAGCCACAGAGGTGCATCTGGCCACATGTTTAATTAATGGTGTAATAGGAACCAGCCACAAAGTTACCACACATTTTTGTTGAATGACTTTGTGGCTTATTACTTATTTTATGATGCCATTCATTGTTTTAATGTGTGGCTGGATTACGATTTAAGACATAATTAAATGGTTAATCGTATCTTAAGTTAATGTGTGGCAGGTTCCTAAGTGTTCTCCACAATCATTTGGCTCAAGATCTCATTTGTGAAAGGTGTGGTCACCTCTCTTTCCATCTCTCCCCATTCACTGTCTGTGAGCTAACTGGTCAGGAGAGTCTGGAAAGCTTCTGTACAAAGTAGGTGTAACAAAAAAAAAATAAAATCAAGAGAGGTCTGACTTTGGATTATGCTGTTTGCCACAACATTCAGCAAATACACAGACTCCAAAACTAATTTCCTCTGCCTGTCCTCATTTCAAGGAGGAAAAGAGTGCAAATTGTGGTGTGCACCATGTGGCAGTAGTCAGTTCACCTTTGTGTGCTGTGGGGTGCTTCACCATAATTGCTTCTACCTATTACTGGACTTCTCCTACTGCCCAGGTATCATGACTGGGCTTCCCTTGCACTACACCCTGATGACCCACAAGAGCCTGGGTATGCTATCTGTGCTGCAAGCAGTATTGCAAGAGAACACTGTTGTACTAAATTTAATTAAAGGGTAAGAGAATGGAAATGAAACGATCAGTCACACTATTCTGGTCTGAAATCCTAATTTACTGAACTTATAAGCAATATCAATAACAGTCCATATAGATATTTTTATGCAAGCCTTATGATGGATACAGTGTGTTCAGTTGGCCAGGTGTCTGTGTTCAGATAGGCATTGTTTCTTCCTTTCCTGAGTGTTATTCTCTCTGTCCCCCCCTGCCCAGTCTTTTTTCCTTAGGTTTTCATAAACTTTTTTGTAGTTCTCTTCTGTATGTTCCATATGTCATAAATATCCACAAATCAGCTTTCATAATGGCTGTTCCTGGTAGATTTAGACTGCTAGCTGCTGTCTTGGACTGGTACCACATCCTCTTTTAACTTTTTTGCTAGCATGGGTTACAGAGGTCAGTTTAAACTGTGGCCCACTTGCTCTGCTTTTAGTTGTGTTTAGTTAGTTATATCAAGACAAAATGGCGTTACTCATGCTAAACATTTTGCTAAGGTGTCTTTCAGGCCTACACTGTGATGCTGCTGACTCACATTTACAGTGCATTTGGTTCAGCAAACTGAATGAAGCAGCATAGGTTTTTCCACCTGATTGGTTTACCCAGACTTGATTAGAAACATTCTCTAATTCACTGAGATTTCCTCTTTCTGTAAAAGTAAACAATTTCAAATTGCAGGGGTGCAGTACATTTTAAAGCAGCTGCATCTCTGCTTCAAAAGCAAGGAACCTGATATTTTAAAAAAATCTCATCTCCACATGGAGAGGATTATTTAGGAACTGTTTTACAATTATTTAAAAGCTACTGAACCAGAAAAAATTAACCTCTTTTGAACCATCCTGGAGATTTTTGTTGTTTAAAATAATAGCTTCCAGATAGGGAGAAAAAGCCAGCAAGGAAAAATACTGTCCATCCTCTGATGTTCACAGGAGTAACTGAAAAAGTCACCGGAAACCAGCAGCTCTGGTCACTGCAGTCTAAAATTGTGTCAGCAATGCTGTTCTATACACAAGAATTTGCAGGGCACGTACAGAGAGAGTTACATATTTGGAACCATAGGACACCATTACCCAGGCCTACAAGAGAGGATGATCCATTTGGAAAACTCAGCTTATTTCACTGTGTGCCCTTGGTGAACCCCCACCTCTCTGAGGGTGGGGGAGGGTTGTTAAGCACAGATGTGGAAGGGTGTTTAATTCTCTGATCTGGCCTCACTGCTGAGACTTTGAACTCCAAAACCATACGCCCCTAAGTAATATAAGAAAATTATCCTCAGGTCTTATTGCAGCTGGTTGAGAGATGCAACGCAATTACCTTTATAGAGAATGCTTTCATTTATAGTGCAGATAACTAAACTTTTTACCTACTGGTAAATTTGTGGAATGTATTTTCTGCACATAGGCTCCTCCTCCAGCTTTCGTTCAGTTTCAGTCCATGTGCAGCAGCCCTCCATAATCTACCAAAACAACATTATGGCTCCAAATTATCTGAATAATTTTAAATGTCTTTTTAAATTTAATCATTTTTTAATTTGAGATTTTGCAGCTTTCATCTCTATTAAGAACTTTTTTTTTTAAATAAATAAGCTAACATGTTATGTACTTTTTTCTTCTAAATAGACCAAGACTTTGACCTAAGACAAGCACTTGCTAGGAGGAAAGAGACTTTCTGTCTAGTTTAGCTATGAAAAATATTCAGTTAAAATTGGGAGTTTAATTCATTTAGTTATGAAAATGAAATGAGCTCAGTAAGGTACACTTGATTTGCCTCCGATAAAATAATAAACTCAAAGTAGAACAAAAGTAAATTCTAATGCAGTGCTGAAAAGGTAAGCTGAGTCAGTCAGTGCCTAGATTCTCCTTAATGTAGGCATATAAATTATGCCCACAATAAGCATATGCAGAGAAGAAGCTGTATGGTAGCTGGTGTGGATGCTACAGAGTTTGGATTAATAGGATGTTTGTAGATCACTATCAATCATTCCCAGTCAAGGAAAGAGTTATTACATCAAACATAGCAGAGCTTTTTTATAATTCTGCATCTTGACTAGAAAATTAAATTTCACTCAAAGAAAAAAGAGGGGTTGGGGGAGGGGAAGAAAGAAAAGAGAAGGAAAAAGAAAAGAAACCCCCACTCTTCAATTTTGCATTGGTTACCTACCATTTTTGCAAATGGGACAGCATTGATCTGGTTCATAGACTGGGTCCACACATTCAGTCTGAGGGCAGGCAGACACTGTGCACAACACTTCACCATTGGCTTCACAGCGACATTTCTCACATGGGGAAACCTGAAACACAAAACCCATTTGTCTTTTAGTTAGCCCATTCAGTAGGCTATGGAACAGCTTCCTTCGGTCTTGCCCACTCTTCTGTCTTTCCTATAAGTTTTCCGTGTTTCACAGCTGCTCGAACAATCTAGGCTGCTGCAGTCTCAGCTTAGAGAGCAGCAGCCAAACTAGCCCCAGGCTCTGCTCTGAATCCATGGCCCAGATTCAGCAAAGCAGAAAGGTTCAGAGGAGCAGGGACACATGAGGCTGTTGGGTAAGAGCAAAACCACATGTCACTTCAACCCTCCCTTCCTAGCTGTAAGGAGGGATGTTGGGGAGGAATGGGGGTAGGGAGGAAAGGGCGGGGGTGACAGTTCTACTTCAACCTAAAGCTGGTCTACAGTGTGTTTGTTCATTTGTTCATTTTTAAATAAATGTATGTAATTAAAAATTGCTGTCAAAAAATGAAAAAAGTTTTCCTCAAAAATGATTCCCTTTTACAGATTTTTGGTCCGTGTTTGCTGCAGGCCAGAGCCCAAGAATACTATCTTTTCAAACACTGATGTGAGGTAAAAATATAATAATATATATATTTTGGGGGGTAAAATATAGTTATTTTTTTTCAGTGACAGACATACAAAAAATTAATTTTTACAGGAAGGCCAACCAAAAGTGAAAAACAATTTCCTGTGGAAACTGGCGTTTCCCATAGCTTCTACTATTTTATATTTATAAATACTAATATTTTGAGAGAAATTAAAATAGCTTCCATGCTCTTTTGTGCCACTGAAATATGTCTGGCTTAGATGAGCTTTCTGGGACGATCATTCAGACTGTATTACTGGAACAAAAGGGTCTGAGTGCTAACACTGAACTCAGTGATGAAACTATCACCCATTTTGATACAGAAGGATCAAGCCCCTAATTAGGAACAGTTAGACCTGCACACAATTCTCATGTACAGAGCAGATCTGGGGGGAGGGAGGGGACAGGGGTACAGTCACATCTCCCTTCTGCTACCACTGCTGCTGTCTCTGGCTGAGCTCAGTAGTCCTTGTAGCTGGAGCCTACAGGCTGGCAGTGGACCCCAGGGGCCTGAGCAGGGAGCGAGAGCAGGTAGGGGAACCCTCTTCCACTGCCATCACCACCTCCAGCTGATCTGGTGATAGGGGCAAGCCCAGAGCTGCTCCTGCTTTAATCCATCCAGGGGCTTCAGCTTTATAGTGTGCTGGACTTTGCAGAGGTTGGAGTGGCAGTGGGCAGATTTCCTCCTCTTGCACCTGCTCCCTCCTGCTTACCCATCTTGTCTCCTGGCAGGGACAGTGGCAGCAGCAGGTACCTCCTTCCAGCACCCGCTCCTGGCCAGTGGGGAGACATAGGAAGGGGTTGGGTTAGCAGGAAGCACATGAAGGAAGACAGAATCTGCCCACCACAGCTGCTGCCCCCGTCCAAGCCTGGGTCCCTGCATAGCCACCCTTCTTTATGAGGTGAGAGGAGTGGCTCTAGAGTTTCCTCTGTGTCTGGATAAACCAGGGACAGTAGCAGCAAAGGGCAGGTCCACCCTTCCTGCAGCTGCCCCTGTCCTACCCTCCCAGTGTCCCTTACTAGCCCAGGAGCTCCAATCATACCTCACCCCCATCCTCCTTTACTAAGCCCTAGATCTGTCCATACTCTGGTGATTTCCATAATGCTCTCATTATGTCTCAGATTTCTGGATCATTCTGCGGGGAGGGGGTGGGGGAGGGAAGGGGTATATCCACATTAATAAGACATTTCATGTCCTCAATGAAGAGGAGATATGAGTAGTGCAAGATTCACTGCTGTGCTTCAAATGGCATTGGTACCCACAAGCCAAATCCAGGGAGGAGAACATGCCTGAACACTGCATACAGTGCCAGCTTCCCCTAACTTGAAGATGTGGGAACTTTCTAGAAATGGACCTGAGGTTTAGAAATGTTCAAGATGTGATTAATTCTCTTCCCTCCCATTACTTTTTAAATTTAAACATCCCAGCAGCTAAAAGAAACACCAATACAATGTCAGATAGGCTGTTCTCACTGTTTTGTGTAGGAACAAAATTACAGAAATCTCTTAACAATAACTGTTCTCACCAGAGAATCACTCCAGGTTTGGACAGAATGGTGAGTGGGCAAAATCTATGACTTGTCCCTATATTGCCTTCCTCAGGTAAGCATCTCATCTGTCACTATTTTATCACTGCCAATGCTCACACCCGAGGCTTATATGCTCTTTTTGTCTGGACTTTTTTTCCTACCTTTCACAAGCAGTGTTCCCTTCCAAGATCACTGTTCCCTCTGCTTGAATCCCTGCCCTGACCTCTTGCTTCTTTAACTTCTCCTTGATTTCAAAGGCTCTTTAGAAGGCTACCAACTGGTACTTCAATGCCCTCTAACCAAATTCCTCATCTCTCCTACTCTTTTTATGCTACGTGAGCAAAACAGCCTCTCCTTTTCTAGTACATCAAACCCACCTTGCTCTCCCTCAATACAATCAATTTCTGCCCAGTTACACTTCCACACCTACCCATCTGCTTCCAATGCTCTTCTCCATACTTTTCTAACTACAATACAAAACATACTATACATTAAAATCCTGAGATTTAACAAAGACTTACATTGTTTGGCTTTGTATAAGATCTTTGGGGCAGGGACCCCATCTTGTAATGGGGACTTACATAGGACAAACCTGCTCTGAAATTTTCACCTTACAGATAACAGCAGAAGAAAGATGTCTCAATAGTAATTTTAAGTAGGATTTCTTTATCTCTCTCACTTCATCATCTAATGTATGAAAACATGCCATTTATCTTTAGGATTTTATTGACTGATGCTTCCAGAAATCAAGTTCTAGGGGCAGGTTCACTGAGAGGCTAAAGAGGCATAACTCCATTGCATGCTGTGAATTTGGGATTATTTTAAAAAAGTGGTGTACTTTACATATCTCTGTGATTTAACAAGACTAGTTATTAAAATGGACATTCATCATGCAATACTCCAAAAACCACAGTCAAGCTCCCAATCAAACAATTTCTAGCAGTGCAATGAATGACTCATTTAGACCAAAAGCTTTGGCCACAAAAGCTACCATAGCACCTGTGATCTTGTGGCAGATGTGTCCAACTTCTACTGCTGTTGCTCCATAAATCCTAGATCACTTTGTTTGCACACCAGCAGAGTCACTGCTAAAATCATCCTATCTATGTCTCTCCACCCCCACAAGACCCCAGCAGTCAGTTGGTGTGCTGTCCTGTCCTGAACAAGAAGGAACTTCAGTACTTTTGGCAAAGGTTTTTCTAGCCAGCCCTGCAGTTACTGACTGCACCCCAAGTTCTCTAAGTGCATGGCTTTGCAGGTGCTATTTATCTCCCACATGCATGGCAGAGCCAGCCTAATGGAGCCTACCTTCATTATCAATGCTTTAGTATTTGTAGTAACCAGATCATTACAGCACCTCAGTGCTGGACAGCACCTCAGTCCAGGATCAGTCAAACTCTCTGGCCATCAGAAGGGAACACAAAAAACAAGTAGTGGACCTTCCCCCTAGCATCCAGGTGTGTTGCCTGTACAATTTCCAGGTTTCACATCCTTATATAAGGAAAACTTTGTGAAGACCTTGATTTCTCATTGCTTCTAGACCTAGTTGGTTGATCTGCCACAACTGGCATTTCCTTTCAAGAGGCAGAAAACAACTTCCTCATCAATGCTAATGTCACACATTAGCCCACTGCCTGGGCAGCAGAATTTATGAGTCACCGGAAGTTGCTGTACACCAGAATATGGTGAAGATGGCACAAAACTCTTGCTGGGTGCTGGCTGATATAGGACCTTAATGTTTGGTAAACTCCTTAAAGCCATCTGCAGTGAATCCAAAACCATCTGTAGCTGCCACTCAGCCATCAACCAACACCTGAAAGTCCTGTATGGAATATACCACTAATACAGACTCATCTGCAAAGAACAACTTATGGAGCAGCTGAGTGGTGACATTTATATTGCTTGCAACCTCACAAGATTGAACAGTGATCCCAAGGTGCAGAAACTCATCACCACACTGACTGGAATGTTATCAACTGACACTTTCACACATGCTATAAAGGACAAACATGAATGGAAATGGCCTAAATGCACAACCTTGCTTCACTCCAAGTGGAGCCAGAGGTAAGGCACAGATAAATTACTGCTGGTCTTCATTCTGCCATGCATTCCTCCACAGAGCTCAAGCATGACCAAGAAAAACTTTTCAGGACACCAGAACCTACCTTAATAGGCTTCAGAGATTGAAACAACTGATCCTAAAAAAAGGGGTTTTTTTATTTTAATGAAAGCCATATAAAAATGGTTGCTCATTGTTTGGGTAGCATTATACACTTTTTCAGGTCACAGAGAACCCCCCCCCTCCCCCCCCCCGGTCACAGCAGAGTTAAATACTAGACAGAATAAAGGCTTGCACAAAACTCCATATGTACATTTTTTATTTATACAAAAATCCTTACCCTCTTGCATTTTTTCTGGATCACCACAGCTATAGCATCAACCTAACACTATTCTACTCACAAAAAACCTTACTTCTACTGCCCCTTGACTCACTCTAAAGCTTCACTGAGACTCTGGGAGCTCGATTCATAGCAGGTGTAAGAGAAGTCAGCTCCGTAATATTCAGGTCAGTATTTTACTAACAGTTGCTAACAAGGAGATCTCTCTATTCATCCCCCTTTTCCCTCACAGATCTTTTCATGATGTATCTTTTAATTCTTGAGAGAGAACTCTCTCTTCCCAAATTTGGCAGAAGAGGCTGTGTAAACTCTCAGTCACAGCTATACATCCTATTCGCATACCATCAGGACCTGGAGCTTTGCCACTTTTCAACCTCTGCACAGCATCCAGGACTTCTGACGGAGCAAGTTCATAGCCTAAATACATTGTTTAATTTTATCTTGTCTTGTGCTGATCAGCACATCAGCAACAACATTAAAGGGAGCATACAACAAGTCTGTTAAATGC